ATTAATTAAGATTCTTTGATAACCTGAATAGTATAAACAGTACCTTAGACTTACATGGTAGTGTGAAAATGGTAAAGTGGTAGATGACAAACATTTTATTTAACATTCCTTGTACTACTACATAATTGAAAAAAATCAGGCTACTTGGTGCCATAACTTGTACTGCTGGATTAAATTACCACATCTAATTAACAGTAAGCATTCTCCCCACAAAAAACCTAGTATCAAGCAAACAGTGACATTTAGATACATGGCCCTCAGATAAGTCATTCAGCCTGGTGACAGAATGAAGGTTAACCTGAAATAAAGGTTTGCAGTAGATTTTAAAGGTAATAATCCAGCAACCTAGCATAGCTCATGTTCCTCAATAACCATTCAACTGGTAACTATAATCACCTAACAAGTTCAGGTCTTGCTCCCCTAGCTAGATTATCATTTAGGGATGATTTTTCTAATCCCCCAAAATACAAGGCAGTGTTGCTTCCAACATCAACTATACCATTTTTATGAGATCTACATGTAAATTTACAGTCGACAAGTTTTTAATCTAGGGAACTAAATCACTGTTGAATCATTATTTTTATAAAAAGGTCTAAATTCCTCTTTCAGCCTAAGATAGTCCATGAGACACTCAAAGTAAAAGTGCTTCAAAAAAACAAAGATTGCAGAAATAACATCTAAAATTGACTATGCAAACCTGGTGTGGTATGTGCCTATTGTCCCAGAACAAAAAGTCAAACTGAAGTAAGACCACCACAGTGGCCAGCCTGAACTACAAAGCAAGTCCCTGTCTCAAAACACCAAAATTCAGGCCAGGCATGGTGGCACACTTGGGAGGCTGAGGCAGGAAGATTACCGTGAGTTCAAGGCCAGTCTGGCCTATATAGACAGTTTGTGGCTATCCTGAACAGAGAGACAGAGAGAGAGAGAGAGAGAGAGAGAGAGAGAGAGAGAGAGACAGAGACAGAGACAGAGACAGACAACTGGAGGGGGGGACTTAACCAAGCAGAAAGAAACTACCATATAAATGAAAAAGTCCTGTGTGTTGTGATTGCCCTCACTATTCATCACATGTTTTCATTCCCAGACTAAGCCCTAAATACTTAAAAACGGTTATACACTAAATAAAAAGTCCACCATTAAAAAAATGGCCTTCAACCATCTCCAGAATACAAATAATGCAAAAGAAGCATTTTCCCAACATCTAGCTGTGTACTACTAGAATAAGACTTCACGTACACAAAAATTCATCTTGGTTAAAGTTGTAGCTCAAATAGAATCTGAAGACATGATGGAAGTAGGGATAGTTTTGAATGATACTCCCCCGTGGAATACATATATAAGGAGAAACCCATCTCCACAAATACAAAATAGCAAAAACCACCCAAAATCAATTTGAGTTTTGTATTCTCATTATTTCATTTCCTCTAGATGTCTAGTCCTCCTTTTTACTGTATTATGACAAATTTCCCAAATACTATCCATACTAAAGAATTCTTAAAAAAAAAAAAAGGGTCCATTTCACCACAGTGAATGTATGCTACTACCACAAAAAAGATCTTTCAAAAGACACCAAACCACACAAAGACCCCCTAGTCAGTAAGTAGTAAAATATAATTATTCACCTAGGTAAGAACTCACACAACAGAGAAACTCAGAAAGAAAGAAAGAAAAAAAGGTATTAGGAGAGGAATTAGTTCCTCCATCAACTAAAGATTTCTTGGTTATTTTCGGGTATTTCTGTGCTAACAGTTAAAATATGTACATTAACATTTATAGCAGGGTATTTAGCTCAGTGGCACCGCCCCTGCCTCGCAAGTGCAGGGTAACCTGTCCCAAAAAAAAAAAAAAAAAAAAAAAAAAAAAAAAAAAAAGAGGTGTAACATTTATATTAATACAGTAATACCTCAGTTCACAAATGCTTCTGTTCACAAGTCAGATCTTAAACAAAAGTGTGTGACAAAATTCTACTGTTCACAAACTCCTTATCAGGTAACAAACACAAACATGGCCAACTTTCCCCAAAATCATGAAAACAAATTATTTGTGAACTGAGGTACCACTGTATACATTATTAAGACATATATGTGGTTGCCGGGCGTGGTAGTGAACACCTATAATCCCAGCACTCAGGAAACTGAGGCAGGAGGATCACTGTGAGTTGAGACCAGCCTGGGCTACACAGTGAGTTCCAGGTCAGTCTCAACTACATAATGAGACCGTCTCAAAACAAACAAACAAACAAAAAAGAAATAGTATCTTCAATTCCCCAGCCAGAAGTCAGTAAGCCTCTCCTAGATGCTACTGTGCTAGCGGGGTCCTTTTACACCAATGTTCTGTGTTTGGCGGAAATAAGATAGGCCTTGGGGATTCTGAGTGTCTTTTTTTGACACAGGGTCTCACTATGTAGTTGAGACTGACCTGGAACTCACTATGTAGGCCAGGCTGGTCTGGAACTGACAACGATCCTCCTGCCTCAGCCTCCTGAGTGCTGGGATTACAGGTGTGCACCACCACACCTGGCTAAAATCATATCATTTTTCAGTTCTAAACTATTTTCTTCTATTAATAAAAGGTTTCTGGAAATCACCTACAAGTTCTAGTGAGAACCTACCATATGTAATGTCATAGCCACAATAACTAAGTAGTCTAAAATAACAATTTAATGTTAAAAAGTGGCCGACATAACTGGCTAAATTCCTTAATAGCATTTTGTAGTAAGAGAGCTCGTTGCCTCAATAATTCTGCATTTTCACATTAAAATGTACTGCAATTTTTGTTTAGAAAAAATTCAGGACCATGGGGCTTGGTACAGCTTCCCTTTAATCCCAGCACTCTGAAGAGCTCACACAGGAGGATAAAAGTTCACCCTGGGCAATTTAGTGACTTAGTAAATTTCTGTCTCAAAATAATAAATGAAAAGGGATGAGGACCACCTAAAATATGAAGGCCCTGGGTTTAATCCTCAAAACCACAAAAACAAACCTTACCGCGCTATATCTTATCACTACCCAGCAAAAGACATTGTCTCTAGAGCTCCCAAAAAGATCTTTTATTTGAACTGCTAAAACTCAACTTTTGACAGCTCAAAGGTTACCAGTGAATGACTCCCTACAGAGCTATAGCCTCTTTAGAACAGTAAACATTCCTTTAAGAAATCAATCATAGTTTTTAAATATCTTTTGGGGGTGGGGGGTTATTAAGACAGGATGCTGGTCCCAAACTCATGGCAATCATCCTGCCTCAACCTCCCAAGTGCTGGAATTACAGGCTTGCCCAACTACTACAACCACAACACCCAGCTAGTTATCTAATGAATGATTTTTTTTTTTTTTTTTTTTTTTTTTTTTTTTTTTTTTTTTTTTTTTTGAGACAGGTTCTATGCAGCCCAGGCTGGTTGAGAATTCTCAGTAATCCTCCTGCCTCAGCATCCCCAGTCCTGGGATCAAAGGCATACACCACCACGCCCATCTGAATGAATTCTCTTTCAAGAGCCATACCTTTCTGTTAAACCTGTACCATACTCAATTTTGTATATGAATCAATTAAAAGGAATTTAGATAGACCAAATAAAGCAATACAGAAGAGCTAAATAAAGTATACTTGCTTTTCTCCTTAAAATGTGCTACAACTACATCTGCCTTACAAGCACAAGGTCCCGCGTTCGACCCCAAGTACCAAATAAAAGTATTAAAAAGAAAAAATGATACAGGGCTGGAGATTTGGCTCAGTGGTTTTGCCGCCTGCCTCACAAGCACAAGGGCCTGAGTTCAATCCCCAGTACCAAAAAAAAGATACAAGTTTTAACCTGAAAATCAGAAATGCAAAGAAGGCTACACATGGTGGACCAAACCTATAATCCCAGGGTTAAGGAGGGAGGCTGAGGCAGGTAGATCACCTGAGGTCAAGGCTACACAGAGACCCTATCTCAAAAATTAAAAAAAAGAAAAAAAAAAGATGCATAGTTTCATATGTTAGCATACATTGTGTACCTATAATCCATAAGGGAAAGCTGAGGCTATCAAGTTCAAGCCCAGCCTACACAATTTATGAACTCAGCCAGATGCTGTTTTAGATTTTGAATAGAGTTGGGGCATCATGCGGCACAGTGGGAACATTCTGGGTTTACTCCCTAGCACACCAAAAAGAAGTTTCAGATTTGAAAGCATTTTAATTTTTGAATTAGGGATGCTCAACTGCTAAAAACCTATGCAAACATCTCCAAAACTCAAAATGCCCTGAAACACATTTGGTAAAATTGAAAATATCAACTATTTTTACTAAGGAACATTCAACCTATTTATCTGATGGTAAGGAAAGAAAAAATAATTTGACAAGCGTCTAAAGATTTTGTGTGCTTAGGATTACGAACAAATATTACAAGCCCATTAAGGCAAATTTAATAAACATTTATAATAGGGAGCTATCCAAAAGTTTCTCCCTTGTTTTATTTCTTGGTACTTTCCTAGGTTTAAATTCACCCCTGACTCTTAAACTTTATTATTGAAAAATCTTTGACTCAAAGAATTTATGTGAACTAGTTTAAAAGTTATAATAAGTCATGCCTTGAAACAATAATTTTTTTAAAGACAACTGGGTCTTGACTTAACATGGTATTTTTAAATTAAATACTTACTGTCACTACAAAATCCTTTATTTCATTATCTAGAAATTTATCATCAGAATGTCTGTGAATTTTTAGGAAGGGATGATCCAAGCGTGGCCAGAAACTATGGGAGCCCTATTACAGTTATTTTCTTAAAACTTTTCACGCTTTTGTAAATTTAAGCATAAACAAAACTATCATGCTATGTCTCAAGAACCATTAACTTAGAATTCTACCATGCTACTTTTTACCAACTATCCATGCAAAGTGTGTTTATAGAGATTCAAAGATACATACTTCAAAAAAATATCTGGTAAACCGTTATGGCACATTAAGAAAAAAAGCAAGCATTAAAGATAGTTAATACAAACACTGAAGGGGGAAAAAAACTTACCAGTTTAACAGCCTCCTGCGCTGCTTCTTTTGTACAAAAAGTGACAAACGCATAACCTCTATTGAGACCAGTGAGTGGATCCATCATTAGACGAAGATCCCATATAGGTCCAGCTTTTTCAAATAATGGAACAAGCTCATCTTCAAATAGATCTCTTGGGATCTTCCCCACAAATATCTATAAATTAAATACAAAGTAAAAACCATGAAGAATTATTTAGGAAGCCAGATACCTCTGCTTTTACTACAAAAGGTAAAAGTTTATAGTCTCTTTACCTCAGTGCCAACAGAAGGCTGCTGACCTGAATAAACGGAATCTGGAGGTGGTCCCCCATACTTCCTCTGTCCAGTAGTCACATCAAGTGTGTAGCCTGTTCTTTCCAAGAGTGCCTTGAAAAGTTCAAATGTTATTAAGTATGTTTTATTCACAAGACCACACACTATACATTCAGCAGTTAAAAAAAATCCACCTTGTTCAAATCTTTCCAATTATCCTATCAACAGTCCTCCATAAACCAGTTTCTGGGGTCTGTTTCTGGATTTCCCCAAGAAGTACATATTATAACCCAAACTTATTGTCATAATTTCACATCTTTGGCAAACCATTTTCTAGTCTTCAATTAATTGCTCAGGACAAGAAGTTAACATCACTGCTAATGCCTTCTAAAAAATGAATTTCATTTGGTTGAGTATCTCCCTATTTGTGACTTCTTACCCATCAAATTCCCCTTATCCTAACTTGTAGGCGCACACTGCCATTCTAGGCATTTTACCAACCCCTGAAGATGTTACACTCCTCTTAAGTCTACAACTTGGAAACCAAAGGAAAGCCTCTATTATTTGACACTAAAATATCATGTTTCATAAGAGCATAGATCATTCAGAAATTGCAAAATTGTACTGTAATTTTTACATCTCATCTCACCAAAAGTGAACTGCTAAAATTTTCAAAACTCATTTAACTCAGGATTAGGAGTTTCTCACCATCCCTTATGTGCAAATGTGCCAAAAAGAAGTAGCCCGTCAAGATTTTTTAAAAAGTCAAGGGGCTGGGGCTCAGTGGCAACACGCCTGCCTCAGCTCAAGGTCCTGAGTTCAACCCCCAGTACCAAAGGGGATAAAAAAGTCCAAATTTTCCATCTCTACCACAAAACTAGTCTTTTTCTTTTTTCCCTCGGAACAGGGAATCCAACTCCGGACCTTGCTCTTGCCAGGCAGGCATGGCATCACAGAGTTACATCCCTGGCCCCTTAGTTCTAATTAACAAAACAAATCTATTAGTTAGCTGGTAATTCTGAAATAAAAAGACCAAATGCTAGTCACGTGACAAAACTCACTAAAGTGTATTAAACGACATGGGGTCGGCTTGCCTCAGTCTCCAAAAATAAGAACATTAAAAACAAATCACAAAACAAAACAAAACTAAAAAAACACACAAATCACCAGCCTGGGGAAGTTTCAGTGATAGGGCACTTAGCTGATAAGCACACTTGAGGCCTCAAGTTTGAGCCCCAGCACCACCTAGAAATAAAAAGTCAGTAATTTATTAAAAAAACAAGTTAGACTGGGGATTTAGCTCAGTGGTGCTGCCAACTGCCTCACAAGTGCAAGGTCCTGAGTTCGAACTCTGCTATCAAAAAAAATCAGAGCAACCTTCTTGTTAAGAAAAAGATTCACAAGGGCTGGGGATTTAGCTCAGTGGCACTGCACCAGCCTTGCAAGCGCAAGGTCCTGAGTTTGATCCCCAGTACCGCTCCCCCCCTCAAAAAAAGTCACAAAAAGTTACGTAGTCTGAGTTAACATTTTTCCTTAACACCCAAATATGACTGCTTAATGATGTATCAATGTGATGGTATTAAAACTCAAACCTATGACTATAAATAAAACTATTACTATCACATGGGATGACCCATCAAATTGCTCATTTTCCCTTTTTTTCATATGTAATCATTGTGCTATAAAGGAGGTATGACTTTTTCACTTTAATCTGCACATGAGGGGAGGGTGGTAGGGGTGAATGGAGGGCAGAAGTATGGGGAAAAAATTAGACCCAAGATCTGTCATGTAAAGGTACAATATCCCATTGATGAATGTAACTGTACTGTATACTTTAAAAGTACCAATAAACTCAATAAAAAAAAAAATCTGCACATGACCCTAATACCTTTTGTCAATCAATTAAAACAATAAGGCTGAGAGCTGGGCATGGTGGCGCATGCCTATAATCCCAGCACCCAGGAAGCTGAGGCAGTATGAGACCAGCCTGGGCTACATAATGAGTTCCAGGTCAGTCTCAACTATATAGTAAAACCCTGTCTCAAAAAACCAAAAAAACAAGGCTGGGTGTGGTGACACACATGGCTGTAATACCAGCACTTGGGAGGCTGAAGCAGGAGGATCACTGTAAATTCAAGGCCAGCCTAGGCTACACAGCAAAGACCCTGTCCCAAAATGCAAAAACAAAACACCCAAACGTCCGATAAAAATTGGGGGAGGGGGTCACAATTTAAGTCTCATTAAAAATTTAAGCAACCTCCTCCCAAAGACAGAACTGAAAGTCACAAACTAATTTGCATAAAACTTTAATAAACTCAACTCCCCAATGTATTTTTATTACAATTAGCACAAGTAAACCCCATTTTTAATGGAAAAATTCACTGATAAGCTCAAACTCAATTCTTTTACCAACGTCTCAAATTCATGACTAACAACTAAGTCCATATTCCAATCTTTTCCATATTCTAGTCTTCCCTCTTTCCCTATCATTAAAATACTACCCAACATCTATGCCCATTTGTTTTTAGAGACAGGTTCTCATTCTGCAGTTCACGCTAGCTTTGAACTAATTACATTGCCTAGGATATCCTTGAACTTGCAACTATCTTTCTGCCTCAGCCTCCCAGTGTGGGAATTAGAGATACAAACTACCACACCTGGCCTCTATGCCCTTAATAACTCATTTTCTTAAAACTATAGTCGTTGGTTTAAGAACAATATCATGCTATAAATACCAAGTTAAAAACAAATAGGAATCATACTTTTATACAGAAAGAAAAAATCAAAACCTAACAATTCCAGACAAATCAATCTTCCATATAATTTAAGAGTCATTCACCCTCAACTTGTTTCCTTATTTACACATCTACACCTAACAACCTTAGTTTTAAAAGCTGCTTTTAGAAATAAACAGGACAGCCAAACACGGTAGTCCATGCCTATAGTCCTAGTACTTGGAAGGCTGAAACAGGAGAATCATCAAAGCCCTGGACTAGCCTGGGCAACACAGTTCAAGGCAGCCAGACTCTGACTCAAAAAAAAACAATAAACTCAAAAAGTCATACTAATGGAAAAGGCAATGTTAGAATTCTAAATTCACCTGGAGTTGAGACGCCTAAAAAGCAGTCAACTGTTAAATTACACTTCCCATCAGCTTAAGGTAAACAGGTTCCCCTCTCACTTTGTTTAAATGTTACTAACCTGAACTTGCACCTTTTCAGAAATTATTAGACATATGATAGATGTCTATCTTTAAATCTCTTATTCAGACTAACAGAAGCACAGATTTAGGAGTACATCTACAATCCCAGCACTCAAGAAGCTGAGTGAGGCAGGAGGATGGCTGTTATAGTTAGAGGCCAGCCTGAACTACAATGAGACCTTGTCTCAAAAAACAAAAGGAAAAATTTAATCATCAGCTGGATAGTTTAAAATGGCAGAATACCTTTCAAAATACTAATTAGGAAAGTCTAGCAATGCTAAAAATTTATACATCCAGGTCACACTCAAAGAGTATTTACCAAAACTAGGAAAGAGTTAAAAGAACTTTAATAAAAAAGTTTCTAAACACCTACCTTAATTTTTGCCTCATCTGGTCCTTTACTAGAGTCTGCTACTTTGGTCCCCTGTTTTTCTCTCTGCCTGTAAGTCTTCATGACTCCACATAAAAAGGCACTTTTGTTCTGTAAGGAAATTTTCCATTCACATTTAGCAATTATCATATTTGCATGTAACAAAATTTAAGTATCAAAAATACTCAAAATTTGTTCGTTCTTTCTATATTGAGGTTAAATTAACATTACCTGAACATGAGAGAGATCACTGTCTTTAAACTGTTGAAGAACTGCCAATGCGCCGTCTTCATTGAACTCTTTTAAAGCTTCGATAGCTCTTTCATCTAAATCACTATGTGCAACTAGCCCTGGAGAAGAGAAAACTTAATTAGTTATTAATTTCTAACATTTTTAGAAAATTTTTCCTTCAAGACCCAGATGCCACTGCAGATACATGTGCAACAACTCAATCAATCCCTCTATCTGATAATGAAAAGCATACACTTAACCTGTTCTGAACTAAATAAGGCCTCTAAACCACACTTAAAATAACAAGCCAATTTTACATCAAGCTTTGTGCTCAAGTTTCTAAAGAGTTCTGAACATTACAGTATTTCTACAGTAAACGTATAGACTTATAAATCCTAACGACAACCAACAAAGAACCAAACATGACAACTGAACCCGTACTCACTCAACTGCAAGTACCACTAGAAAAAAGAATCACCACACCACAGAGAGAACACACCTACAGCTACCAAGTTATTTAACAAGAATCCTACTATAAAAATACCCAAAAAAGTCACACGGTCAGTTCCCAATATTTAGCAGCTGTTCTTACAATCATATACTTATCCAACAGGCCGCCAGCCTTTCCCTAGGGAGTCCCTATTCCTCTCCTTCCCTCCCTCTCTGCACCTCAACCTCTAGTTCAAACCTAAATCAACTATCAGAACAAGGCAAAGCTCAAGTTCCCACACTTAATTGGAAACCACAAAAAGTTGCTATTTTAGCTCAATGCCAGAAATCCAATAGAAAAATTTCATAATATAATTTTGCAAGTGTTAGTTCTTACCTGCAACGTAAATTTCATCTAGTTTTTCAGCAACTTTCTGTGGTAAACCAGCATCAAGCAATGTCTGAAAATTTTCTGAATGGATAACTGCAGAAGTAGTATCCATGGGCTCTTCAGTACCATTTCCATTAACATGTTCTGTAGCCATGTTTCCAGAGATCTGTTCAAACGCAATAAGCAAAATTAAACTAGGATCTTCAAAAAGAATAGAGAACAATATAAGAGCCCCAATTTTACTTTCTCTACCTCTTACTGAACCAGCAAACCTGCACCTCCCTTGAAAGAAACCTTAAAAGTCACCAATCGCCTGACATGCCAGATTGGAGCAGGGCACCGAAGGACCAATTCACTATTTTCTTCCTAAGCACCACCCCTAACTCACCTGCTATCACTCCCTAGGAAGAACCAGATTACAAATGAAGCCCAATCAGTAAGAGGACCAGCCAGAGTGCCACATGCAGCTGTTCCCATACGGAAAATAAGGTGTGTGAGAATAAAGCAAAGCTGGGCTCGTCCCTCTCCAAGGTAAAACCCCAAAGTGCGCTTTTCCCGCCTGCCGCTTATAGATCAGTAACAACAGCCAGCGAAGAACAAAGCGCTCACACAGGCCACCTTCCCACCACCCAATTTCTCCACCCTTCACCCCCACACCCCAAAGCCCGCCCCCGATTCCGCACCCAGAGCGGCAGTCTCACCACTGCGGCCGCCAGGAGCCCATTAGAAACACGTGCTCTGCGCCTTCAAATGTCCTACAACTTCCTTCAACGGAAACCCACGGAGTCCCAGGCCAAGACGACCGTCACCGGCTCCCATCAACCCGCAGCCGCGGTCGGAGCCCCCAGAACGCTGCAGCACCACAACCTCGCCCCT